TGCTAATGGTGGCTAAAGGTAATTATGATAATGGCAATTAAAACATTAATATGGTAAAGGTAATGATAGTGATATTGTCATAATAGTCATCAATATTATCATCTTTTTCATTATCAGTTACATAGTAGGTGGGACTTTCTATAATATTTATGTTAATTTTGATATGATAAATCAGGAATTCTTCCTGGAAACTGACAGCTTTACTGAAAAAATAGGTAATCTAGATGAACGAGTTTGCTTTGGATAAAGATGGAAAATCTAGAAATGATATCTATTTAACAATCTCCTGTCCTCTTCATCAACGGTGAAATAAATTAGATTGTGTCATAATACATGGGTGTCATTCTGATAAGTTCATAGATGCTTAGAATCAACTATTTATACTGAGTCATCTATTTTTTAAAGAGGGTGTCTTGAACACATACATGCATGTATACAAACAACAATATTTGTTTCCAAAATACATAGATACAAAAAACAATATTTATGTTTCCCAAATACATAGATACAAACAACAATATTTATGTTTCCAAAATAAGCACTAATATATTTAAGCTACTCATCTGTAAGTTCACATAAAAGACTGTAGTAAATGAAAAATCAATTAAAACTAAAATTAACGATTTCTTCTAAGCAAAAGCACACTTTCCTGTTTTGCTTACGTTTCCCTCCACAATTAACCCATTGGGGCCAGATTTCAAAGACGCTTCCTATGTTGGCCTCAGAAAGATCAGTCTTAAACAAAGAGGGCTGGGTTGACTAGGTGAGATTTTAACAAGAGAATTATGGTTGTAATTTATAAGGGGATTCGAATGCCTTAAGAATACCCTCATCCACCAGGACTTAATATGTTATATAATCTAAATGTGTCACTTTTACTCTTAATGATACAGCGTTTATTAGTAACGAATTGCCCGTTCATTCTGTCGAAAGCCGTATTTCACTAGTTGTAAAACAAACATTAAAATCCATAATACCTATATATCAGTATAACAAAAGAGGAAATGAATCTCTCCACCAATCTCTCAAGCTCAAAAACGTCCCTAGAAATAACGAAAAAGAAAAGGAGTATATACGAACAGAAAATCACATATTTATGGTTCATCTGGAAGGTCGACAAACAGAGGCATACTGCACATCAAACTTACCTTTTATTTCTGAATTAGTTCATACTGTGTTGCCTTTCGATTTAGGCTTTGACATCGTAGGCAAATAAACAACTAAAGGACTTTAATTCACACATATCCCAAGCGTAACTTACGTGTGAATTGCAAGTAACACGCATTTCCTGAGTACATGAATAGCCCTTTCATTGCCTTATTTCTTATTTATCATTATATTATTGTCTTCGCTTATTTCTTCTGGTGCATAAGTGGGCCTTGAAACAATATACATAGGAGGCGAGGCAAATACTGTGAAGAGAATAGAGCAGGGAACAGACGCCAAGTGTGTTTTCCAATTGCGTTCTGAGTGGCGCGGCTGCGGCGCGGAAGTGACGAGCAAAAAAGAAATCTTTATTATCATTATTTTCATTCTCATAACACTGACGGTAGATAGTATTGATATCAGTAGTGTTGTTATTGTCATTTTTTAGACTTTTCTTTTTTTCTCTCTTCATGTTATATTGTTGTTATTATTTATACTATTTTCATTTTCTTGTCGTTATTATTGATATTGTTTAGAGTGTGAATATCAAATAGCCGTCTCTATCTTTTTATCATTATCATTATTATTATCATCATCGTCACTTATCATCGTCATCAGTCACGATCTAATCCTCATCAGCTTCATCTTCGTTTTTATTGTCGTTGTTTTTAATATCACTATTAGTATTCCCTATTAGTACGACTGTTTCTATAATTATGCTTGCTATCAATTTATCTTAACCACTAATACAATTATCCTCATTACTCTTGTTCTCACATTTGTTGCTAGAAAGAGCTGAAACAGTGATTCCCATTTTAGGAAATTTAAGTAATAGAATCCAAGAATCATTACGGTTTCTGTAGCTATGGATGTTATGGGAAAAGTATAAAAATAAACAAAAAAGCATGGTGTTACTTCTACGTCCCCTAATAGAAGTGGTGTGAGTTTGGTCCGTATTGATGTTGTACACGGAATGTCGTTTTCAGTGTTAGGTGTTAGCTCGTAATAATCTTGGTATGATTTAACTACCGTAATTCAGTATGTAAGGAACTGAATATAGTAATCAGAAAACTATAAGGAAAGTCTCGCCAACCAATACCGAACATTTGCTTTAACGAATATACACATGCATGATGATATATAACAATCCTCCCTGACCTGGCCTCGAACCTAGGTCACTCCGGGTGTGAGTCCGGAGGGCCAGAACTAGACTAGCCCTCCGGTCTCATACCCGGAGTGACCTAGGTTCGAAGCCTGGTCAGGAAGGATTGTTATATATCTATATCAATGCGTTACTGCATTATTCCACCTTTCATGTATAGTGAGTTGACTCCTATGTCTAGACAGGATACAAATATATGCTGTCTAGACGTCCGTAGGAGTCAACTCATCGTGAAATCGCGCTGATAAATCTTATTTCTGATCCATTACTTCATCTTTATCTAAACCTCTTAATCTTAATATTTCTCTTTACTTAGAAAAAAGAAACTACAATGCCAAATGTTTGTTCAATAACGCCATCGTGATTAAAATGATGCAGGGTTCTTGCCGCCCTTTTTAGTGATGTTAATTAGTTTTATCACAATTTGTGTCATTACGATTATGGTTAACAACACCTTATATCTATTACAATTATTACCATTACTCTTATTCTCATTTTTGTTATTTTTTGTTATTTACTTTATTTACCTTTTTGTATTTTTACCAGATTAGTAGAATCAATGTAACTGAAGTGAGTGTTCTACGTTTTTCCTATTAGAAATAGATTTGTCTGTTTATTAGAAATTAGATTTGTCTGTTTTTCTATTAGAAATAGACTTGAACTTGATAAAGGCTGATAAAAGGCAGATAAAAAATCCTAACAGACGATGGAATAAGAGAAGTATGGAAAAATAACAAGGGATAGAGAAAATGTAATAAAGTCTGCAGTATCACAGAATTTCTGGAAATTGTGTCTGTAAGAAGTATATACGTTTTGAAGTATTTTTTTTTCTTCTGATTCATTCTTAAATTGCATTAATAGTCGGTGACCTGAAATGAGTATAGATATTGATACCTGATATTGATATCTAAAAAAGTAGTTAGAAATGAGTGTGGAAATCAGTCAAGTGTTTTTTTTTCGATTTTATATATTTGATAACAAATAAAACTTATTACAGAATCAACAATCAACAAAAAAGTAGTGCTCTCAAGGCTGAATGTTTACCGTGAAGATTGAGTGCTCATTTCAGAAGTTAAGTGAAGATAAAGATAAAAGAAGTTGCCATAGACAATTATCTTCTCTTTCGTCTTCTGGCAACGTCTGCGTCAGGAGAGTTACCGAACCGACTCCTGACTTGCTTATCGAACTCCTGATCTCTCTCCAGGATGGCTGCCCTTAATCGCTCGACGTCGCTGCCTGAATCTGATAGAAAGGCATCGGGTGCTCGTCCGCCTGAGCCATACAAAGACCCTACGGCGTCATCTGGTGCGTCGTCTTCTAGAGGGAGGTCCAGGAGAGGGCGCTGTTTGGTCCTGAAGGATTCTCTGTAGTAGTCCGCTTCGTAGGACGGGTCTTTTAGGATCTCCTTGATGTCCTGAATGCTGTGAGGAAGGTCGTCGAGATTGAAGTCGTGGGGGCTCGACGTGGGGGGGAAGGACGACCCCTCGCGCTGGTGATGGTGGTGGGAGGGGCGCGACGGAGGGCAGCCGGTATTGCGATACTGACGAGGGCCATTCCCGCGGAAGGACGAAGGCACTGGGATCGGCAGGAGTCCAGGAGGCCGGGGGAAACGAGGAGGGGGGTTTCTCGCTCTACAGGGCGGTTTCGAATGATGCGGCCTAACAGGGGGAGAGTGGGAGTGGGAGTGGGAGTGGCTCGGCCCCGGGGAGTGGAGGCTGTATCCCTGGTCTTTGTAGTCCGGGAAATCAGGAACAAGGTGCTCCTCGAAGCTGTCATCGAAGACGTTGGCGTAGAAGTCGACCGGACGGGAGTCGAAGTCCAAATGGGAGTTGAGATTCGGACGGGAGTCGACGTCCGGATGCGAGTCGAAGTTCGAATAGGAGTCGAACTCTGGACGGGAGAAGAAACCGTCCGCATGAGCCGGTCCGTCGAAATGGGCCGCCTGGGAGGACGAGGAAGGACCGCGCGTGACGTGAGTGTAAGGTTCGAGGAAGGCGTACTGGGGTCCTGGAGGGCGAGGCTTGGCGACCACCTCGGAGTCGATCCCGAGGTCGACTGCGGGCAAGAGGCCGCCGAGGCTACCCTCGTGGGGACTGGAAGACATGTTGAAGCGCAGCCCAAACTGTGGGGGAAGAGGGCGGGGCTTAGTTTACCTGCGATAAACACCCAGTTTGCTTTTGGTGCCATTGCAGCGAAGGGGCATCGCTCCGTAGATATATATATATATATATATATATATATATATATATATATATATATATATATATATATATATATATATATATACATATACTGACAGACACATATATACGTATATACATATCAATATATCAATATCAATATATATATATATATATATATATATATATATATATATATATATATATATATCAATATATCAATATATATATATATATATATATATATATATATATATATATATATATATATATATATCAACAAACAATACATTTCACCCTCTTGTAATTTCATTACTGTTCATTCAAGAAGAAAAGGTCCCTTTATGCAAATCTGCCCCGCAAAGTAACAAAACAAGTGAACAGAAGAATATTCACAAAATCATTAAGAGGAAATTAAGTAACATATCACACTTAATGGAGTACCTGAAATCCCTTAAAAAATACGGACGATTAGTAAGACGATATCAAATGTACATCCGTCAACAAAATTA